TCCAATCAAATAGTGAAATAAAACATAAATTACTTGAGAATTGCCATAAAATAACAGAAAGAAGAACAGGAGCATCTTTGATTTGCAAATTAAATTCCAGCAGGGGAAAAAGGTTTCTTTAATGAATTTCATAAAAACACAAATTACCATCCCCAAAAGAGCAGCAGCCATCAGCCCTGCACCAGTTCCCTTAACTTCCTGTAAATAACAGAAACACTTGTTATGAGAAATCCCAAAAAAAAAAAAAAAAAAAAAAATATTTAAAAATAATAATAATAACAACAACAACAATAACAAATATATAATATTGTCATTACATCAAAATAAAAACTAAGTATCAAACCTTTGTCAAAAGGTAGGTTGCCCAAGAAGCAAAAGCAGAGAAAATTGGAGCGGTAAATACACACACAGTTTCAACAGAGAGAGGGATATTCAAAGAATTTAATATCCTGCCAACAAAAGTGTAAATCAAAGTAAAAACTGCAGATAATGGAGAATAAATTCATGAAAACCAATAACTTGGAGCATAAACAATAATAAAAGAGATATGAACACCCCCACAGAGTTTAGATGGCTATTATATGGATAAAAAAACAAAGATCTATAACACACCACCACAAAGTGCCTGCTGTCAATGTAAGTCCAGGATAAACAGTACCACCAATTACACGTCCAAGGGGATACCTTCAAACGAGCAGAAATATATCATTACTTCCAATCAAATGGATTTAAATGTGAGTTTTAATGTACTTTTGTAACAAACTCAATCACCGAATCAACATTTTCTAAATGGAATTACCATGTGCGATCGTCAAACCAATTCCAAAAGTCATATATCCCATTCTTTGTCAGAAACTGAAATCAACAAATATACTGTCACCTTCAGCTTTTAAGTTCTTACAAGGGAAACAAAATAATGCAGGGAATCCAAAAATGAAAATCAATAAACCAAATATCCACTATAGATGTAAACATGCAGATTAGAGTAAAAGGATTAACTTGTGGCCAACAGCTTCATGATCATACAGGAATTCAGATTCAAATTTCATTCTACAAATGTATGTGTTACAATCATGGAAATTATTTCCATGCCATCAAAAATTTTACAGGGTTATACTAAATTTTTCACACAAAACATCATTTGTTAGTACGGGGTAGTAATTGCCCTTAACCTTTTGCTTGGCTCCCATGACTTGATTTTTTTTTTTTTTTCCAATTTTTAGAATTCAAGACGTTCTAATCTAAATCTAAATATATAAATATATTGCACTAGTACATGAACCCTTTATATGGGCTCAAGTTACCTCTTCCATGAAATCAAAATCAATAATGTTAAGAAACAGAAGAAGTCAAACCTGAGTAACTCTGTAATTGAAATAAGGATCAAACTCATGAATCACGCTCTCATACTTGATCACCTGTTCATAATGACACAAAATGAGTGCACTGCAATCAATAAAAATTCATATTATTCATGCAATTCGCACAAATTATAATAAAAATATAAGAATCTTAATTAGTAAAAGCTGAGGTAATCACGTGTATTTTATGTAGCTCATACGTAAACATTCCAGGAGAAAAAAACACGCAAGAGCAATCAGATTTTCGCATTTATTATAAGAATCATCAGAAAAGATGAAACATAACTGCACGTATGCAAATGCAATCGTTTACATTACGTAGCTCATAATTCAAACATATACACTCAAACAAAGTCGTAAAATTTTTGTATTGAGGTGATTGGTTAGCATTTCTAAGATCAGATCTGAAATTTTGATAATTTGCTGGTAATTGTGAACTGTAAATAAAAAATAAATAAATAAAAGCAGACGACGATGAGGAGATTACCGAGAACAGCCGGATCGAGAAAGCCATAACGCCGATGAGGATTAGAATTAAAAGCGAGAAGACATTTCCGAAAGCTTGACGGAGAGTTGCCGCCGATCCTGGAACGGCTTCTGAGTCTGAAGGGACCGCCATTGACGACGGCGAAATCAATGGTGAAGTGATAAGTAGTTGCTAGAGCAAACCAGGCGACTAGCAGTGTGCCCAGCGGAGGGTTTTTTGTGTTTTGAGAAGGGTAGACTTTGTGACGGGTCAAGGAAGATAAATTTTTAAAATGACGGATTCACCCCTGTACTCCATTAGTGTGCATTTGTAAAATGTAACAGCCAAACGCAGTGCTAGGAATGACTGAATGAATGATTATTTTCTTTGTTTTCTTTTTTTTGAAAATATTTTATTTGTTTTCTTTTAACGTCTCATTGGGCAATAGCAACGTGGCTTGTTCCTATTGGCTTCACATACTTGGCATTTTGGGTTATTTTTGTTTTTATTTGTTTTTTTTTTTTTGCATCTTTTTGAGTTTTTGAAATTGGCAAAATGTACGTTATAATTTTTTTTTTTTCTTTTCTGTTGAGTCCTACTGACTCTCCCACATTAGGAGTAACTTGGTGAAAGTCATTGACGAGTACTCCTAATGTGCATGTAAAACTAACTAAAACACAAAGAATTCATATTGTCTCCATCAAAGTTTAAATCCACAACCTCTTATATGAATATCAATTTGGTACCATTAAACCACAAGATCTTTGACAATTAGTGTATTTAATAAATTTAAATTATGATTTTAATATTATGCCAAAATCTTCGTGCATTTTGCGGAGTGTTAATTGTAAAATGAATTGATATTACATATTTACATTTACTTTAATTATTCAAATCATTTTCCATTATTCATTTTTGATAACGAATATCATCTGGGCATACACCTACCTACGTATGTGTTTAGTATAAATACTTAAGACCAAGAGGTCCATTCCCGAGCACAACCGATCACACTAAGTATAACCTGACTCAAGTATAGCAAAAAAGGCAACCATTATGGAGTTTTCATTCTTATGCCTCATACTCCGTACTCAAACTAGTTTCCTAACCCTTCATGCTCGAGTTAGGTATCCCAAGCATGCAACCTATGCATTTAAAAGACGTATGTAGTCCTGTCGCACAACCCGATCACGTCATAATAATACAATCGTAAGGAATCTCAAGCCACGTAAAGCCATTTGAACCGCTATCACATAACTGATGCATGAAGGACGTGTGACTGACATGCCGGACCCTCGGTACGTGACTCTCTCAGCCCTCTATATAAAGCGTATTAATTGCTAGGAGCGGGGAACTTTTGGACTTCTATTAATATTACACTTAAACCCGAAAACGTCTAATCACTCGTATAGCTTTCCGAGACAGTACACTATACACCGAGTATAATACTATAGGGTATTTACTATATCAATTTTCAAAATTAAAGAAACATACAAGTGTATTTTTTTTTATATCAACGTGTACAATTGCACAGTGTGAGGTGTGGATGCTTAAAATTTTCACTCGTACTTGTATCGGGGCATTATAATACAATGGTAAGTACTGAATTTTCAGGAGACACTGTAACAATGTTAGTTATAATACAATGGTAACTATTATTATTATTGTCATTGTTATTGTTGTTGTAATTATTATTAATGTAATAAGCTATTAGCTAATTTACCAAAATACTTTTATGTAATGAGCTAATACTACCAGCGGGTCAAACTTGTTAACACTATCAGCTATCAACTACCAGCTAAATCAATTAGGGTTTGTTTGGTTCGCGGAAAATATTTTAAGGGAAGTGGAATTGGAATTCCATGAAAAAACAATTACTAGGAAGATGAATTTCATTGTTTGGTTGGTGGAAAAAGAATTACTAGGAATACTAATTCTATTGTTTGGTTAGATTTGGAATTGTAAGGAATAATGAGTATAAAGACATATATGTCCCTACAAATTAATAAAAATAATATAATTAAAAAAGAAAGCAATGGGTAAAATAGGCAATCTATTCACTCTTTCTTCCCATCTTCCCTGGAAAACAAAATCCTTAGTCCAACCAAGAATTTTGTTTTCCTCAAATTTGAGGAATTCATTTTCCAATTGAAAATGAATTTCATGAACTAAACACTAGAAAACAACATTTTCCTTCACTTAAGGAAAATGTTTTCCTTTGAAAAACATTTTCCATGAACTAAACATCCCCTTAGCTATCAACTACAAGCTAATAACCAATTACCAAACACCTCCTAATTATATGCACATAATATGTTAACTTCATATTTATACATTGTTAATTATAGTAGGTAGTTAGGTACATAATTTATTAATTAAAAGTATATAATAATATATTAATTACAGATACATAGTGTGAATGTTGTTTTGGACTAAAATTCAAAATGTAAGGTTAGTTCATGGTATAACATTTGGGATTGTAGTGTGTAGATTATGAGAGTAGCTAAGAGTATATAGGTAGGAGCAGGATTGTCTCGTTCGTGTCAGTCTTTTACTGTGCTCTTTATTTGCCAACAGCACTCAGTGTTCACGGGCAGATCGATTGATCAGTTTTGAGGGTAATAATAATCTGAAACTACTGTTGCTCGTATCTCTTACCCATGAATAATCATCCACTAATGTACTGTTTGGTGTAATGCAGTTGTAATTCAATTACAACACAATTTTTTAACCACCTGAATTACAGTGTTTAGTTCGAAGAAATTGTAATTTTATCTTTTCAGGAGCGAGGTTTGTGTATTTAAAGTGCGTGATTTGTATGTTTAATGTGCATAAATTGTTGAAACTTAAAGTTGTTAAAGGTGCGTGATTTTCTCATTAAGGGTGCATCTTTTTTTTTTTTTTTTTGTTGTTGTAAAAATCTCATTAAGGTACTTTATTGGTATGCTTAAAAAAATTTAGAAGCTGTTTATTTTAACGTTTCAAAATAAGTTATTATTTTAAGATATTAATTTATTTTAAAAATATTACCAAATAGAACTTCTACCTTATTAGTAGCTTAAAATACAGAGCCGTAGGCTATTTAATTTTACTATATTTATATTACCCAGATAATCTTTAAATTACTTCAAAGTTTAAACAAACAAATATAGGGTTATTATTTTTTTTTTTAAAATGGTTTTCTCGTCATGGCCCTCTCAACCGCCCATGAATGTTGAACTTGAGAGGACTTTGGTAATTGGTAGCATGATATGATTGACGGAATGAAACGTTGTCTTCTTCCCCAAAAGGCAACGCATTTCATGCAGACAGAGTACACTCGAGGGAAGCCATGTATCAGGAATCCCGCTATTTAATTTTTTGATTGATGGGCTTTCACAAGACCGTTGCCTTCCAAACTCCAAGTTGGCGACTTCAAATTCAAAATGGCTAATGATTCCTGACGCCGCAGAAGAAGAAGAAGAAGAAGAAGAAGAAGAAGAAGAAGCATTCAAAGCCTTTGCAACTCTTATAGCCACAGGAACCACTGCCTCCATTGATATTCTCCCGCGCCCAAAATCTCAAGCTATAAAGCTTAACAACCTTTTCAGTGACTTCATTCTGTGCAGAGTCACACTATGGCAAACCAATTCTATCCCTTTCACCCAAACGGTGTCTCCTCTTCTCCCCAGAGCTGGGGAAACTGCTACTCTTCTCATCCCTCTACCTATGTTCCTCATTCTCCCGGAAATGCGCCTTTTCCCCAGAGTTGGAATGGTAAAATTCTTGCTTTCCATCATTTTTTTTAAAAAAAAAATTCCCTAGTGAATTTCAAGTAGGTTTCATCATGATACGGCGTTAGTAGTATTGTTTTCCAATTTGATGTCTTGCCCATTCAAAATTTTAAATTCTCTGAGATGGTTCCTCTTGAAATTTGCAAAAACAGATGCAGTATGAATGTATGATGAAATGCCAAACAATCTCTCCATAATCGAGTCGGTTTCGATCAAATTTGTCCTAAATGATCTTATTTTTATTTGTGATATCTGAAACGCAGAGGCAGAGGAGGTGTTTCTTGCACCATCAGTAGAAGCCAAACTTCAAGAAATTTGCATAAAACAGCGCCAAGAGCGTGCAGACACCAATGCTAGAAAGTGTCTTGCTTCGATAGGCGAGCAGGCTTCGCTAGATGTTCTGGAAAAAATCTCACCTTGCCCGATTCGAACAACACTCAGTCGTTTCATTGTCTATATGGTAAAAAAGTATTATCCTCAGCAGCATTCCAGTCCAGGAAGCTTTTCCCACTCTCCGCAGAGATACTTCAGTTCACCTTCCTCCTCATGCTCTTCCAGTAATTTTACTCCAAGAAACGTTCCTTCCCCTAAGAGCAATGGTAACTTGCTATTTTCATTGTGGAACTGTTTTGTCTTGCCAGTAAAATTTCCTATAGAAACTGAAATGCTACACTTTTTTCTTTATTAGGATTATTGGATCTCAACTTCTGCATTCTGACTAAATTTGATGTGTTAAGTTTTTTGGTTTTATGGGTAGCTTGGTTCTTTCTTTGGTTTTATGTTTATCTTCATGATTCATGAAAAATGAAGCAAAAAAAGGTAGACACCGCAACAATTTTGTTTATTAACCATTTGGCAAAACTTGTGATTGTGTATTACTCCAAATGATTATATGAACAAACAATTGATTATTTAAACAACCAATTATTCAATGGCTAAGTTGGCTTATGATGATTATAGATTATGACCATCTGATCATATGCAAGAAATATTAACAACTACTCATTGATCATTGACTTGAATTACAAAAAAAAAAAGTGTTGTATAATCTATAATATATTATGTTTAAGAATATAGTCTTTGTCAATTAAAAAAAATGTATGGATCCTCTTAATGTGTTGTCTGCAGTATAGCCGCCCAACAATTAATTATTAATCTCACTTGTTGAATGCATTTATGATATATATAGTGAGCATGTTGGTTCCTCCTTTTCCTCTTCATCAAACTTCTTGTGAGTTTCAAACTTTTGCACCAGTCATAGGTTCTAATATTCAAACATAACTTTATAATGAAGCTGGTGATGAGACCTTTGAATCCAAAATGTCAAAGCCAGATATACTATCACCTCAATCAAGTCCTCAGAGTTTTAGCCACCACCCCCGGAGATTAGAATTTGAAGAGAGAGCAAATGCTCTAGGAGTTAGTTACCAGTTGTCAGCACTAAGTGAGCTTGAATTTAGAAAGTTCTTTCTAATATTAAACTATATTGGGAGGTAATACAACCCTTACTTCTTGGCTTCTGTATTTCTCAATAGTTTGGCATTTAGCTGACTTGCTTTGCAGGAATAAATTGGAGGATGTAGTGACTCCAGAGGCTGCCAATGATATTTTATATGTAGGAAATCAGTCAATGGCAGCTTTTGAGTCATATATGTGGACCAAATTCAGTCATTTGTGTGAAGATCATGAAAGACTGCGGGTGATGCTCTGTCTCAAATGTTACTCTCCTTGTGTCCCCTTAAATCTCTAAGAACTATTTTGTCCTCTGTTTTTATTCTTAAGAGTTACCTGGTTTTCAGAGCTACCTTTAATAGTTCTATGATTTATGAAGTCAAGTGTGTACAAGACTTTTCTTATCTACTTTCATGTCTTGAGTTTACTAAAGCATTTAGGTATTTGATGTTTGTTCTGCACTTCTTTCTATATGCCAAATTCATTAATTTCTCCATTTTTATGTTACTCAGTATATTGATTGGGATTCCGGAAGGACTCATATTTACAATTGTAATGTTGATTCCAATGAAGAGTATACATTCAAGGTTTGCATCTTTCCATTATTTTATGTTAAATGTCTTCCCTCTACCTATGTATAAAGATATGCTTCTTTAGTGTTTTTAAGTGTTCAAAAATTTTATCCAATGGCTTATAGGAGAAGCAATATGTAATCTATGAGTAATCCACCTAAGAATATTCATTATTGCTCTTCCATCCTTTTAGTGCAATCAATAGTGGTTGATTCATTGTAGAAATGTATATTCCTTAAATGGTTTCATTGTATAATTCCTTAAATGGTTAGTGCTGGAATGGCAATTACTTTGTTATGGAAGACTGGTAACAGAATATTTCGATATTTAATGTGTAATTGCCTTTTTGAAATTCAGGGACCTTATTTGAACGCAGCAAGAACACATCTCCAACAGGCATTAGGAGATGAGAATGTATTAATTGTCAAGTTTTGGGATGATGCCCCTACTAATGCCAGAAAAACCATTGAGAACGGTCTGCTTGTTGGTTTAAGACGCTATCGCTTTTTTGGTACTTGTCTTCTTAATCTCCATGAAGATTTTAAATATTCAAGAACATTCTCTTGCTCTTTAAATTCACCTTAAAAGCTTCATAGAAGTGCTTTAATGCTTTAAACCTTAGATTGCCCCCAAATATGTGAACCAATTTCCTGTTGTTAGCATGGATTTTTTAGTAATTTTAGCTGTTTTTTTTTTTCTTTCTATTTATTAGCAGATTACATATCCTAGTTTTATCTTAATAAGGATTTTGCACCTTTAAGTTATTCCCTATATGGCATCATTTGCTCACTTCAATTGCAATCTGTCCTTACGTTAGGAAAGCTTCACTTTAGAACATTTTTAATTCAACCTATAGGGAATTGGATATTCAGTCTTTCAACAATAAAATCTCAGCCATTTGCTTGTTCAGACTTCATTTTGTACAATGTTAACAGAAGTATGACCTTTCATCCCTGTACATGGAATAACCTAGTAGTAAACATCTTTTGTGGATTTGTTAATTAGCCCCTATTAAATGATGCCACTATGTTTTTGTGCAGTCTTTAAAGACGAAAGAAAAGAGAAGAAAAGCAATCCAAATGACGGAAGAGCAACCACCTCTATAAAATGCTACTTTGTACGGATGGAGACGCTTGGTCATGCAGAAGAAAGCTTTATTTTGCATGGAAAAACAGTCCATGATGCAAGGTGTCTTTTCATGCATGTTCACATGGTGTCAAGCATGGCTAAATACATGGCCAGGTTGCTCTTACCCCGAGACTTACCATCCAGTAACATTATTTTTTATTTTTTGAAGTGGTGAAATACTTTGTTGATTGCAGGTTTTCTCTTATTTTGTCAAAGACTGTCAAGCTCCCCATCGACCTAGGACCTCTAAGTGATGTGAAAATACTCGAAATTGAGGATATATATTGCCGTGTATATTCATTGCTCTTCCTTTTTCTGTATTACTCTGGCACTTTCCTGTCTCAAGATTATGCACTTTTTTATGGTATTATTCTCTTTGGGCTATCTGTAGGATGAGTTTGGATCCATTCTCCTAGATGAAGATGGTGCACCGCTGATACAAACTGATGGTACGGGTTTTATATCAGAAGACTTAGCAAAGAAGTGCCCCAAAAACTTTTACAAAGTAAAGCACTCGAATGATGCCAATTCTAAGGTAGTCTACATGAAGTATTCTCATGCTTTACATAAGCTGTTACATTTTGTCTCCATATTTCTGCTGCCATTGTTGGCTTGTTGCTCAATTTCTTTGTAGCAGTTCAACTGTATTGGTTCATATTTGATATTTGTGCTTCTAACTCCATTTGTTCTTATTATATTCCCAGAGATTGATCAATGGTGGGAAGTTTGGAGAAGAAGAATATCAGAACATGGAACCGGTAATCATTTGATGATTAATGGTTGATAATTAATCTAGTCATTACCCTATGAAGAACAGGCTAAAGATATTTTTGTAGGGCTTGTGTTTTCTTACTGTTGAATCTCACATTTCTTTCACTTTCTTTCTAGCCCTTGATAATGCAATGCCGTCTCTACACCAAGGGTCGTGCAATTAAGGGAACACTTCTTGTCAACAGAAGGGTAAATGTCTAGGACTTTAGTTGTAATTCCAGTATGAATCATGTTAATAATTGTGACCTAAAATGAATTTGTTCAATATTTCCCAAATGGTTTTCTCTATAATTCATTATAAAACCTTCACTTATTTGGGACTTGGGAGCTGGCTTAATTGCCTCGTCATATTTTTTAAAAAACTTCTTGGATAAGAAGATTCTCTCCATTTATTAGTGATTTTACTTTTGAAGTTTCAGTAGTGCTTTCCTGACGGTTTCATATTTCTGCTCCTTAAATGTACAAGCTCCCAGAGAGCACAATTCATATTAGACCCTCTATGATCAAGGTTGGTACAGATCCAGAACTCTCGTGCACCCAAATATTCGACTCACTTGAGATAGTAGCAGTCAGGTACATTTTCAACTTTCATTTCTTTTAGTTGTGCGAATTTTTTCTCTCTGCTTCTCTATGAAGTAAAGGGCTTAGCAACTGCTTAACACCTCACTTTTTATGACTTTTGAAGTATAAATTGTATATTGTGCTTATCTAGACTTTTGTGTATAAATGATGGGTAAAAGATTAAAAGCAAAATTCAATTTGTTATTCTTTGTATTATTATTATTTGCAAATAGAATGACACCTTCATTAAGTATTGAGCTCCTTATGAATTCTGCTGAAGACTATTTCTGTAAATATATTCTGATAGTTTAGGCATGTGAACTATCCTTGGATCTGTGTGAGAGTGACATGTTATATTCTTTTTCCAGTAAAAAGCCAAAGCAAGCTCATCTCTCAAAAAATTTGATTGCTCTCTTGAGCTATGGAGGAGTTCCCAGGGAATATTTCTTGGACATACTGAAGAGTGCATTGGAAGAGACACAGAGGATATATTCTGATGAGATCTTGGCACTAAAAGGTAATTTGGAGTTCCTACCTCCTTTTTAACTATTATTATTAAAACATTATATTGATATTATTACTTAATAATTATGAATTTTTTGTTCTATGAAACAATAATTTTCTCAATAGCATGAAACAACCTATAAAAAATAACCATGCAGACATGATAATAAAACTTCATAGTTAGGCTCTCTTCCTTTCCCCTTCCCCCTTCCATCAAAGCTTGTTATGATCCACTATTGCTGTTTCTAAGTTCTATTTTCGTTCTCAGCAGAATTCGAACTTCTCAATATTGTATTTATTTGCTCTATTTTCTTGCAGCTGCATGCAATTATGAAGATCTTGATTATGGTTCCATAGCAAAAAGTATGATATTGTCAGGAGTACCTCTATCTGAACCATATCTTCAATGTTGCATATCTTCGGCAACTAATGCAGAAAAACGTCTGCTTAAAGAAGGAAAGATTCCAATTTCTGACAGCTTTTATTTAATAGGGACAGCCGACCCAACAGAGAACGGGGTACTAAATCGTGATCAAGTTTGTGTTATACTGTAAGTAGATTCATTCATTTGTTTATTGATTTTTAAATATGCGATGCTGATATTTCTTTCATGCCAAAAGTGTGCCATTCATGTAGTGAAATGACTTAAATTTATCAACCATACAGAATGACTTTGAAGTGCCATTCATATGTTTCATGCAGTGATTATGGTCAAATTGCTGGGGAAGTCTTAGTCTACAGGAATCCTGGGCTTCATTTTGGGGACATCCACAAATTAACTGCTGTCTATGTAAAGGAAATTGATGAGATAGTTGGAAATGCTAAATATGCTATATTCTTCTCCACAAAAGGCGAAAGATCAGTGGCAAGTGAAATTGCTAATGGAGATTTTGATGGAGATGTATACTGGGTTTCTCGAAACTCCAAGGTATACTGGGTTTCTCTTTAGATGTCCCCAAAAAAGTTACTAGAGATCTTCTGATCGATCTATGGGAAGGCCAATGAACTTGATTGCACTTTTGTTAGTTCCAAGAATGAATCTTTGCTATTATTTTTCCACAGAGCTTTAAATGGTTCTGGACTTGTGCAATTTTGTCTGCCTCTGAACATTTTTCACTTTGCTATTCAGCTGATTGAAAATTTCAGAGCAAGTTGCCCTTGGAAACGCTTATTTTCAACTCCCAAGCCACTTATTAGAAAGCCTAATGAGATTTCTCCTGAAGAATTGGAGCACACACTCTTTCAGATGTTTTTAGAAACAAGAAGGCCAAGGTATTGCTTATTATATTATCTTAAATCTTTTTACAGAGTACGTTATGGCCATTTCCATACGTTTGTAGCTCTTACATATTACATTGATCTTGTAATGTAATAGGAGTTGCTATTTGCAGTGCAACCTTTAGAGCATGAATAACACTCGTTACTCGTTAGCTGTTTTCTGTGTTTATAACAAATTTCACTCTTCCTTGTCTCAGCTACAGTATGTCTACTGCAGCTGACAGCTGGCTGGCTCTTATGGATAGACTCCTATTGGGTGATAATTGTCACAGTGAAATGGTAGCTATAATCTTAAAAATGTTTGAGTTGATAGATTTGTACTATGATGCTTTAGATGCCCCAAAAAGTGGAAAAAAGGTCAGTTGCATATTTTGATTTTGTGTTATATGAATTGTCCAGAAAGGGCAATCCCCAAATATGACCTCAACCAATCCCTCGATGATCAACGGTTTAAATTGAACTGCACTCTTCTAATCCAGGTTAATATTCGCAAAGATTTGAAGGTGGATAAGTTACCACATTTCATGGGGAAACGACGAGATACATATCACTCAACATCTGTCTTGGGAGAAATTTATGACACTGTTGTGTCGTTTGAAACCAAAGCCCCGCCTCCTATAGGTAGGTAAACATCTGAATTGGAAGTTTAATTAGTTGCAAATTTCTTGATGGATGGGAAAGTAATGCAGTTTCTTTATCTAATTTTCTGTCCAGAAATCACGACACTACCTTGCTTCGATATCAAGGTACCCGATGAATCCTTGAGGTCATGGAGGAAGAGGTATGACGAGTACAGATCCGAGATGGCAAAGGCGTTGAGCTCCCAGGGTGAATCAAAAGATGATTTGGCAAACGAGGTGATAAAAAAATACAAGCGGGTAAGTTCTTTATCCAAAATTTTCTTCATGGCCTTGGTTCTTGACACAAGAAATAGCCATAAACCGTCAATCATTATGTAGTTGTTATATGGCGCGGATGAGCTGGAAGAAAGCGAGAAGAGTATGAAAGATATATACAACAACGCCCTCGCAATATATCATGTTACTTATGATCATGCAATGTCGAAAAAAGATGCTAAAAAATGTGGTTTTGCATGGAAAGTGGCTGGCTCTGCACTCTGTAAACTTCATGCAGAGCTTCAAGCAAAGGAAAACAATGGGAAAGCCATGATTGTTTCTCCAGTCATGTTGCAGAAAATGTTACATCTGAAAGTTTAGAGCAAAATACTTAGCCTGTGGAGAATACTAACCAAGTAGATTACTGCTAGAAAGACTTTCCTTTTATAAATGTACAGCAGAGAAGGATGCTAGCATACTATCATGTATTTGTCTGATTATTGTGTATTATAAGGTAATTTGTTGTGGTATATGTAAATATGTAATGGTGTTTTGATGTATTTTGTATTTAAATAAGTTGTACTTTTTTTTTTTTTTAAATGCATGTATAAGATATGTTTTGTAAGTTTTAATGGAATATTTGGCATCCAACCACAACATAAAGTTGACCACTAATCTACTAAGAAAAATTAATAATAATGTTCAAACTTTGATTTACGGGAAAACCTATATTCATTATTCGAAGGTATGTTTAGCTGGCAAAGAATCATAAGGAGATAAACTAGTCTAGGTTATTCATAAGTCATAGTTGATCGGTTTAAATAGAGAAAACCAACGTTTTACCACGTTCAAACTCATAAGGCGTTAGCTGGGCGGCCGAGTAAAATAACAATAATAAAAAAGTATAGTTGTCCTAAACCCTTAAAAAAAACACTCTGTCGAGTCGAGCGCCTAGTCAGCCGACTGACTAAAAGGCACCTAGAGCCTAGAGGGAGTAGAGACGAAATTCATTCGGTCTAGGAACACCTAACGCCTAGGCCGCTCATATGACATATAAGTTGATTGAGATTTTAATTTAACTTTTTTTATTAAATAAGATATTTATATGATTGCATGGTATTGCACAAATAAGTGTGTTTTAAATTGTTATACACTTATATTTATTTTTTTTTTAATGCTACTGACTCTATTATATTGTAGTATCTGTTCAAAATATTTGTTTAATTTACCATGTTTTACAATTTGACATCACATAATTGACTCATATTTAAGTCAGTAAATTTGCTGGTAGCAAATAAATATAACACATATTATCATTAACATATATATTTGGTGAAAGAAACCTTTCAATATAATACAATACAAATGTGTTATGCTCTATAGAAGTATATTCTATACTAAATAATTATGATGCATGAAAACTCTTTTAAAAATTATGGAGTATAATTTTGCTTTTCAAATAGATTTTCACATACTAATAACTTTTTCAAAACGTTTCAAAATTCTTTCTATAGTTTAAAAAAAGTTTGTTGGTGTATTTAATTTATGGGGTTCAATTGAACAATAAATACATTTGAAGTCAAAAAAATACAAGTTTTTAATCATTAATGATGGAGTTATAGAGTAACCTAATAACTTGAACAATAAGTGTGTGAAGATAAGGTTATGACCCAAATTGTATAAAAGCTATCGTGACTGATCGACGAGTGATTGACTTGACTAGCAGATAAAGTAGTTGAGAGCTAGGACTAATGTGCCATTTGTTGGGACTACCCTGCATATTGAATTATTGACCGATTGCCTTCTTCCGCCAATAAGAGCATCTCACATCAGGCTCACTTGCCACAAGTCATCATAGTGTAATCTCGAACTTAAAGTATAAATATTAAATATCACGCTACTCACTAAAACTAAATGATCATCTTCTATTCACTACAATTCTCACTAAACATTTGTACCTTATATCTGATCGAATAGTTCTGACCCTACTTCGTACAAACCACTCAACTTTTTACTCATTCAATCAATACATTCTCATATCCTATTCCTTTATCTTGTAGCGTAACTCTAAGGGGGCGTTTGGTTCAGGTTATATAAGATAACCAATATTATTGTTTGGTAATATAAGATTCCCATGGTTCGGGTTATGTAACTTTCTCAGGAATTTCAGATAACCTCCGCATCAAGTTTTTAGCTATTGGAAGGGAATGTGAGATACCCTCCAATTTCTTAGGTAATCTCACATTCCATTGTCTTATTACTAATATTGAGCTTTGAATGTTTTAATTAATTTATCTTATTACCGTTGTCTTATATACATATCTTAGTTTTAAACCAAACACAGAAATTTAACATTCCAGCAATCTAACATCCCCTAAGGTAATCTAACATTCTTTAAACCAAACCGACCTAATCTCATATCTCTAGTCTAATTTATGTTGTATACTTTCATATATATCTATATAGTTTTGATTTCCAAGTTTTCCCAGCATTACATGTTTACTGTTTCTCTATATTGTACCTCTTACTTTCCATTTTTTTGTACTAACTACACCGTCCCCCCCCCCCCCCCCCCCGGGGCAAAAAAAGTATTATTAAAACACAAATATCATATACAAGATACACAGTGCGCAAGTTGTAGCCATGTGGTGTTTGATAAGTGCGATATATATATATATATATATATATATATTGTTGAAAAATGAAAATCTGTTTGCCAACTAACATTGTCACTTTATGCATTAGGATCAAGGACGTGGTTGTTGCACATAGTTTTTTTTTAATACGTAGTACTATTTCTTTTGTCCCCCTATGATATTATCCATTACTAAGCAAGGAACCAAAGTACCCCTCAATTTTCGGAATTTAATCTAATTAGAATTTGACCTAAAGGACAATCACGAAATTAGAGTATGATTCATTATATTTTGTCGTTAATAATTTGTTTAGTAGCCAATTGGGGTGTGTTGGAACGTGAGTTGATTTTTTGCGGTGGCTGCTAAGCGGATTGGACCCACACATCAATCATGTACATTATATTATCCACACGTTTATTCCAGAATTTGCACCATCAAACCCACTTCACCTTTATCCATACCCTTCTTATAATAATATGTGATTGTACGATAGAAACACTTTTTTTTTTTTTTTTAAAAGTATATTACTTTTATCAAATGTTATATTCCATTAAAAAGAAACCCGCATCCAATGTATGTAATTGCGTGATATATATGATTAATGCTCTGTCGGGTCGGGGTATGGGGGCCCCTTAAGGTTGGGGTTCAGTCTTTTGGAAGAGTGATATATATGATTCAACGAGTAAATCATTAAGAAATTACTACATTAATTGGTACCAATAAGGAATCTGATTATAAATTGAATTATTTATTACGATAATTCAACGGTGTCTTTAGTGGGAAGACTAATACCTACTATTTACAAAGAGCTTACCACAGTGAGTGTAACTCTCACATTGTGACTACCAAGTCTAGATCGTGCATTCTTGTCAACAATTTACCACTTGAGTACTTATTGAGCTACCTGTGCTATGACAATGTTATTGTTACGTGAAAGTTAAGAGCGACTTTAACGAGTGATAGATTGAATAATAAAAAGATACTGGCAAGAATCAAAATCATGACCTTTAAGTACAATAATCATATTTCACCTGTTCAGCTTCCATTCGTGGCCCTTATGAATCCATGTTGGATTAGAGAGATGTAGTCCGTATAGGAACATGATAAGAGAACGAGATATCAAACTTGTTCATATTTTTAGAGAGTAAAATAAAATTGCAATTATTCTTATCAAATAGTAAACTTAACATCGTCGGGGTCTTCGAATGCTTAATTGTCCTCTTTTTATCTTCAAAAAGAATTAATTTCACTTTTGGTCCCACGACTTTTGAGTTCTTATCATTTTTGGTGCACAACTTTAAATTTTTTTAATTTTGGTGCCTAACTTTGTTATTTTTATCAGTTTTGGTCATTTCAGCCAAATTGACGGTAAAATATTTCCGAATTTTATATTTTAGGGGCAAAATTGTCATCCCATGGAAAGATCTTCAGTATTTAAATAAAAGAAAATTCATATTAAGAGGAAAAAAAGAGTTTGCCAATGGTTGAAACTATAAATCGCATAGATCTGTCTGATTTCTGCCCGTCTTTCCCATTATTCTCATCATCAAACACCTATAGATATAATTTTACAGTGATTTTGTTTAGATATTGAAGATGTTTCCTTGGGGTGACGATTTTACCCCTAACAATATAAAATACAGCAACATTTCGCTGTCAATTTGGCCGAAAGGACCAAAACTGATAAAAATAACAAAGTTAGGCACCAAAATTAAAAATTTTTAAAGTTGTGCACTAAAAGTGATAGAACATCAAAAGTCGTGGGACCAAAAGTGAAATTAATTATCTTCAAAAATTACTTCTTGAGGATACATTTAGTGCCACCAAGATGGAGTGAGAACTATGACTAGTTAATTTTGTATTCTCTAGGGGTCTCTTTCCGATTAATCCAAAAAAAGCTTACATCTTAAATTTTAAAAATTAATTGTAAACATCATTTTATCTTTTTAATAAATATCTGAAAAATAATGGATTATAAGGTTTGACAACGACGATCTGACCAATAATCCAATACGCATAAGCATGTCACTGTCCCATTATTAATTAATTTAATAATAATTTATGATTACTTTTCTCTCCCTCCATCCTTGACCGATGACCACTTCTACGACAAAGTATTCTATGGATCCGGATTCATTTTGTAAGGTGAATCCGAGTTCAAAATATATAATTTACATATTGAATGTTCACAATTTATATACTAAATGTACACATTTCAAATTAGAAGTTATGGATTCGATCTTCCGTGATAACAATATCAACTATTTATTCTTTAATAAGTTAAGAAAGTAATTATGAACTACGTTATAACTGAGTCAGTAATACTAAAAAAAAAATATAAACAAATTTTATATAGTTAACTTGAATCAAGATTCATTGATTAAATTAGACACGTACGATATTTTATGACAAATGGAGTAATATAATTATTTAAAGGGACAATCAGTTATTAGCATTATGACGCATTAGGTGACCATTGTATTACATAGAACAAATTATAGTGATTGATATGACTCTTTTCTCCGATATTTTATATCATATCATATTAAATAATTGATGTCCATTATTTAATACTCGGTATATAATTAGTTCGTTAATTGAGTCAAAAGAAAATAAATAAATAAAATCTCCACCAGAAATGTCTTTGGCTTTTCCTCTCTTCTATACCTAACGTTAGATTAAGACGTATGTTTCTTCAAAGAAGAACGTTAGACTAAGGCTCTGTTTGACGGAGCTTATTTTAAGTTACTAATAAGTTATAAGCTCCGTTTGGTAATGTTTTTAAAATGAACTCTTAACTTAAAATAAGAGTTTATTTTTGAACGCTACTTTATGTAGCGTTTCAAAATAAGCTCTTAGCTTTCTAACTCCTTTTCCATCTTTATCCTTATTATTTTAAAGAAATGACATAATTTACCCTTCCCAATTAAAATCCTTTTCTCCTTCTCC